AACAATTCGATATGTTAGTTAAGGAGTTTAGTGAACAATCGAATCTTAAACTTTACGCGTGTCTTCACCTTGTAATAACCATACGATAGTTGAGTGAATTAGGGAAGAAGACATAGAAGTTTGATCCACAACAGTAGTATGATTTTACCTTAGTGATTTGAGTTCTAGAACAACTAGTATTAAAAACCCTAAATCGTTTGCTTGCATATGTCTTGAGAATTGCTTGATCTTTTATCTTGATTGAACTATCTATCTTTACTTTATTGCTTTGTTATTTGCTTCCATAAACCCTAAAAACCAAATACTATATTCATCTAGCTTAATTCGCATCATATAGATTTGTAGAGCATCATCATAGTCCTCAGTGAATCGACTCCTAAGTACTACAATTGTCAACTGTGCACTTATAGTCTCCTAAGGTTATGAATTTAAAGCTTGCATATACATCTAAACCCTGCACCACATCATGGAGCATTTGGCCGATCTGTAACATGCTCGCTCAAGTTGTAAGGGATGTGAGGAAGTTGGAACATTGAGTTGATGATTTTTGGTGTAAACTCGTACATCAACCCGCGGATGTATACACAGTGCCGACCACAGTCCCTACCTTTCAGTCTTGCGATGTTGGAGTAGAATTCCCTTACCACTTCATCCACGTAAGGATCCACTTCAAACACAGTGGGGAGAAGAGCAGCAGTTGTATGCATGTCGTTGAAGAGCCGAGGAGATATAGTGGCGTAACGTCACAGAGTATGAATTGTGACAAACCATTTAGTGTACGGCTTCCAAGCACACCGCTTGGTAGATGGATGCTCGATGTCTTGAGTTTGAATGAATCGACGATGCTCTTCATAACGCTGTTTGTAGTGAGAGTAGGGATCCATAGAAGCTGAGAGAAGCTTGTATATTCAAGAGAAGGAGAGATGAAACAAAAAGCAGAGTTAGAGAAGTCTATGTCTGACTACACCATCGCTCTCCATCTCCTTTTAAAACTAAGAATCCCTGTAGCACTGCACACTTAACGAGAGAAGATAATTTAGTGAACAGTATGACCTCCTTTTCAAGAGGAGGCCCAAAGAAAACAGTATTTCGATCCATTAGTAAACACAAGGCCTCACGGCGCCATTAGTAGTTGAGTCAATTAAAGGCAACAAAACGTATTTTAGCTAAGTGATACTAGAGTTATCTTATTACTGATGATGATGGATGCAACAGAAGTCATTGAGAAGATGGGTGTCTCACACTGTCAACCGAGAATCATAAGGCAGCGG